CGGACAAACAGCTCATCAGCTGTTTGTCGGCTCAGCGCGGCAGCCATGTAAATTTAAATGAAGCGGCGATTATTTAAATCGCCGCTTCATTTCCCTTTGGCCAGTAAACAAATCTACATGGCTCCGTCGACGGAGCCATGTAGTGTAGACGTACCCTTGGTGTAGAATTAATATTCCCTACAGAATTTTGTTTTCACACAGAATTTGTGATTTCCTCCCCCCACCTCCCACCCCCAGCTGCTCCCATCTGCTATCAGCCCTGGGTGTGTGGGGCTTCCATTAATTACATTGTATTATTTTAACAAATAAAATGTGCTGAATTTTACAGATTTTAAAAATATTGTGCACAGGATTCTTAATTTGTTGGTGCAGAATTCCCTGAGGAGTAGTCTTTCTTTCTTGTGATGTTAGAGGAGGTACTCTATAGCAAGAGAATCAAACACATGTCTTGGCCACCAAAAAGAGTTTCCTATCTCCAGCCCAGGTAGGGAACAGAGCTTGGGCTGTTTTGTGTATGGCGCCATGTGAGGCTGCTATTATCTGAGCTGCTATGAAATGAACACTTGCTTGGGTATCTTTGCAGGTTTATCCCCTCTCTGGACCAGTTGAAGGTGGCACTAGACTCACTATTGCTGGCTCAAACCTTGGCCAGAAACATCAAGACATTGCAGAAACTGTTACGGTTGCAGGAATTCCTTGTGCTGTAGATGCTCAAGAATATGAAATCTCCAGCAGGTAGAGTATTGTGAAATTCCCCCAGGGAATGAAACATCAGGTTTCCCACTGGGCAACTCACATCAGAATGGGGTGATTTCCCACCCCTGCTCTAGCCACTGTAACTGGAATCGAAACCTTTTGCCCTGAGCACTGAGCTGCCTTTTGCCCCTTCCCAAGGGCAGTGACGCTCACGTGCAGCAATTTTTCCCACCTTCTTACCACTCGGGCATTGAATTTGAACGGAAGCTAAGTTTAATTTTCAAGAGCCTAGCCACTAGCATTCTTCATTCCCAACAAAAACAACGAATGTGATACAATCTTGATAAATATATCAGGTTAGAAAAAAAAACCCTGTGAAAAACAGGAGGGGATTAGAGGGAAATATTCAATAAAAGGCAAAATGCCTTTCTTGGCATCAGCTGAATTTTAGGAGGCAGAGAAGCTAAGACCGGTGTGAATGGGAAGTGAGCTTGTCTGTAGCAAAGCCCTTCATCGCCTGACGAGCTGAGATGAACTGCCTTTGGGCAGGGGGCTGGACTCGATGATCTCCTTAGGTCTCTTCCAGCCCTAGGATTCTATGAGGCACTGGGATTCCTTATGGAAGAGGGTGCCAGGGTACAGCCTGACTGGATGAGTTTTCAAGAAATCTTCTGAGGTGCAGCCAGGGCCTACTTCTAAGGGCTTTGAAGACCTGTAAGCCCAAGGTTAATCCATCACTTTACAGGCATCAGAGATAAAAGACCTCTGAGGAGGTTTAAGTTTGGTCACGTGCTCAAACCAGCGAGCAGATCATGCTGCCCATTCTGAACAATCTGTCATTGCAAGAGGAGTGCTGTGCCTGCTACATGCAATTGCAGTAACTGAGCCATGTGACCTCAAGCTCACTTGCAAGGTAACCACATGATAGAAAAGGGTGTTGCTTGTACAAGTTTCAAAACTGAAACTTGTCTCCTATGCCACAGCCAACAGGTAGCTTAATATGGGAATAGTGTTGATGAAGGGGACACCGTGAGCCTTATTCCAGCTCACAACCTCCAAATAATGACCAGCAAAACCAGGGTGAAATTGAGGCAGCTTTTAGATGGCAAAATCTTATCAGCCAGAGATAGCCAAATTGTTCTCTAGTGAGCCCTGGTGGGCCCCAGATGACTTGCTGGTGGCCAGCAAAGGGTTGCACAGCACATGATACTGGCTCCTGGTCCTTGGGTCAAGGCTCTTTGCCACAAACTAGAATCTAAACACTTCTAGAGACATCTTTAAAGAAGGAGGAGGCAGGGAAACAACATCTGTCTTGAGAGGCTGGAGCCAGAAATGGGATAGGAATGTCCATGAGCGAGTCGGGTTGTCAGACAGTATGTCTAGGGGTCCAGGAAGGGGCTGTAAGAATGTGGCAGGAGCACAGGGCTGATTGGCAGCACAAGGCAGGGAGCCAGGAGAAAGAAACCAAAGGGATGGCAGCAAACACAGGAGGAGGGCATGGGAGTAGGCACATGGGCAGTGGAGCGGGAAGAACGAAATGGGAGGTAGAGCAAAGAGCAAAGCAGAATGTCTGATGAACCTTTATAAACTTAAAAAACAACCAATAGTCTGGTAGCACTTCACAGACTGACAAAATATGTAGATGGGACCACGAGCATTCGGATCATGAACCTCTGATAGTGACAAGGACTTTTACAGCTGCATTGCTCCTGTCCCGCGTCATCAGCTCCCTCACCGCGGGAGTCGAGTGAGGTCCTTTGGAAAGTGGCTGTGGGGACACTGCTGTCAGCCGTTGTTTCAGCACCAGTCCAAGGGCTCGCAGCAGGAAGAGGACTTGCTGCTTAGGAGTGAACAGATGAGTCTATGCAGCAGGTAGTGGTGTCTTGCTAAGAGGCCTCAGACTCAGACTGGGGACTGTAGCATGGTGGCTCCCCTGCCATTGCTTCTTGTGCATCCCACCTCGTATTTCTCCTTCATCTGGGCTCCTGAAGGGCTCACCCAGCCTTCAGTGACCCTTTACGTTCAGTGTTTTAATTTCCCCAGCTCTCCTGAGGCCGGTTACAGAGTCTGTCACAAGGACAGAACTCAGAAGTCCAAAGCAAGCCGAGTTTTTAGTTCCTCTTCCCTTCATTGAGCTCCCACTCGCAGGCTTTGTCTGGCTAGGGCTCTGTAGCAGCCACACTTGCACCTTATAGCTGCTCCTTCCACCAGCTTCCCCAGTTTTACCACCAGGCTTCCTGCCTCTGGCACTCACCTATTCGCTCTACTGCATGCTTCCCAGCAGCTTCCTGCTGCTCTTTATATTGGAATCCCTGCTTCACTGCAGATGGGGTTCATCTTATAATTAGGGCTGGCTTAGCCTCAGGCTCTCCAGTCCACAGGAAAGCTGTCCTGTAGAGGGATCCAATAAAACCTGGAGGGCCGCTGGTGGGGAGTATCAGGACGGCTGTGCTCCCTAGCTGGAGGCATTGGCACCCTGATACCCCTTTTTAGAAAAGCCACTCAAACTCATGTACCAGCAAGGCCAGGTCCTTGGGCAGCTAGAATAGTTTTGCCCTCTTCCGGAGCAGTCAGGAACCATCAGACAAGGTAAGGCTTGCTTGTTTCATCTAAGGGGGAACCTGCTTTGGAAGATTTGCTCCACAGGCCCTGGTCCGCCATTATATCAGACCATTGGGTCCTCAAAATTGTAACATCAGGATACACTATCCCATTTACAACATTACCTCCTGCCTCTCCACCTTCCCTGTTCCTCTTCAGGGATCCGTCTCATGGAGACTTGTTCTAAGAGGCGGTCTATCACCTCCTCACCATCAGAGCAGTAGAGATGGTACCGAGGAGTTCAGAGGCAGAGGCTTTTACTCCCGCTATTTTCTCCCAGCAAAGAAGATGGGAGGTTGGAGGCCTATTCTAGACCTCCGCAGATTGAATTGATACTGTTGAAAACAACGATACAAAATAGTGACCGTCCGTAATCCCATTGTTAGAGAAAGGAAACTGGTTTGCAGCCCTAGACCTGCAAGATGCCTATTTTCATATTACTACACATCCTGCGCACAGATAAATCCTCTGCTTCCTGGTGGGATCAGACCACTATCAGTACCGGGTGCTGCCTTTCGGCCTCTTCTCTGCACCCAGTGTGTTCTCAAAAACACTTGCCGTGGTTGTGGCCTACGTGCGCTGACAAGCCATTATTATCTTTCCTTACCTGGATGATTGCCTGATAAAAGGTCCATCTGCTGCAGATACACTCCGTATGATACTAATAACCAGACAAACATTCAAGCTTCTTCTCAGGAAGACACCTGAGCTCTCGTGGAATGCACCGTAACGGGTGGGGCTGGAACCCGCACTAGCTCGTAGCGCACTTTGATACAATCTGTGATCCAGGATGAAATATGCTGGGCCGACACTGGCTGGCCCTTCATCCTGTCCGCTATAGAGATAAACAATTGCAGGGACTCACAGAAGGGCTTGGGCCTCTCTAAATAAAAGGCTAAAGCACATCTAAGCTCAAGGGTGTGAAAAGCCTGTTCTGTCCTGGAGCTATGAGGCTTAGGGTAAAAAACGGAGAAAAATATCCTGGTGAACATGGACGTAAGAAACCACCGTGGGCCAAAAGGCAGGCGGGGGCGCAGCCAGACCTTACCCTTAAAAAGACTGCACATGGGAGTTCCACCACTAGGGACCTGAGCTCTGACGCTCATCTGACCAGAGTAACGACCACCAGGAAGGACAGCTTCCAGGAAAGGTGCAGAAGGGAACACGTAGCCAACGGCTCAGAAGGGGAGAGGGGAGGGCATAAGCCTTGAGAGCCAGATTTAGTTCCCAAGAGGGCAAGGGCTCGTGCACCTGAGGGTAGACCCTGTCCAAGCCCTTAAGAAACCAGTGCACCATGGGGGTCCGAGAAAATGGTCCTACCCCCCGAAGTGAAGTGGAAAGCTGAGACGGCTGCCAGGTACACTCGGACAGAGGAAGGAGGCAGGCCCTGAAGCCTGAGCCCCAAGAGGTAATCCAGGACAGCTGGCGCAGGGGCCTCTCTAGGGGAGCACAGACCTGACCAGATTACGATGCCCTTCACCTAACAGCATGGCTCATTGTTGGTGGCCTTAATGGCAATACCACCGTATGCCACGTTTAATAAATACAGCGTCATATTGCGCCCACACCTCTCATAGAATCCTAGGACTGGAAGGGACCTCGAGAGGTCATCGAGTCCAGCCCCCCGCCCTCAAGGCAGGACCAAGCTACGTCTACACCATCCCTAAAGCTTGTTCCTCCTAAATGAACCCGTCATCCTCCCCTCCTTCCACCCTAAGCCACACTCAGCTCGGCGTGAGGCTGTGCTTCGATCCCTTGACGTGCGCAGAGCACTTGCTTTCTATATAGACAGAACCTGACCTTTTTGCAAATTGGAGCAACTGCTAATCGTGGTGGTGGAACACTCCAAAGGGGAACCTCTCTCATTGCAACACATTTCCAGCCTTGTAGTTTCCTGCATAATGAAGTGCTACGCCATACGGACTAAACCACTTCTGGAAGCACCTGTAGCACACTCTGCGAGAGCTCCTTGGCTTTCCTTCAGGGGGTCCCCCTCAGAGACGTTTGCTGAATGGTTACATGGTCCACCAGTGATACCTTTCTGAAGCATTAGACTATCTCTGAGTCCAGCTAAGGATTCTTCTGTGGCCTCTGCAGTGCTATTGACTGTGATCAAGTCATGATTCCAAGGGCCGCCTTCCATGTGCTTTTGAATACAGCCACACAGTCACCAACAGTGGAGCACCCATGGGGACATCACTGGAAGAAGAGGGACTTACCTATGCAGTAATGACCAGGGCTCGACAAATGCGCTCGCCCATGGCGAGTAGATTATTCCAGCTGGCAAGTGCAGGGGCGGACTGGCCCGGTGGGCTGTTGTGACGGGCTGGCCAAAGCCCGCACTACAGGCGGCGTGGCCCATCCGATCATCCAGCCGGCAGAGGAGCACAGCGCCACTGGGAAGAGGGAAGTGTGGTGATTCTTCCCACCGGGCTCCCTGCGTGCAGCTCCGGCGTGAGGAGGCGGGGCGGGATGCCAGGACGCCGGCGTGACCTGGCCCTGCTGACTGTAAAGGGCCGCGGCAGCTTGGCTCTGGCCACATGTCCTTGGGAGCTGGCTGTGGCGCGCGGCACAGCCAGGG